ACTGGAACCAGTACACCTTCACCTTCGTACCACTATCGTATCAAATATCAGATTACTCATTTAAAAAAACAAACAGGCATATTTTGTATGCTATACTGCATTTATTCATTATATATGAAATGGATCAAACGTGCAAAACAGCAAATTTATTTTTCGATTTTCTAATTATGCCGGAGATCAAATCGCTACAATACGGTAATATAATTTATTTTGAAGGACGCCCGCTCTAAAACATATAATGGGAATTACCCTTCATTATGACTTCATCGTGGTTAACATTAAGTAAACTATAGAGTACTGTGACTCCAGTGTCTACGTTGATTTTGTCTTTTATAGGATCTGTGATTTGGTGATTTGAAGTACTAAAGCAATCAGAGGCTGGCGAGACTTTCTGTATGTAGTGATCTACTTGGAAATTTAGTTAAATCAGTCTGCCTACTGAGTTAACTACGCTACAGCGACGAAACTTCACATCAAATTTCTAATAAGCCATTTCTAATTATACAATAATAATAATATTAATAATAATAATCTACAATGTACATACAAGAGTTAACTAAGTATAATATCAGCAATATAGAATAATTAAAGGCAACAGATAGCTTTGTCTTAAAATATTTCGAATTAACGATACATAAACCAAATACGCATGTACAAGCAATAACGATCGAATTAATATCAGTGATGATCGAAGAAGGGTAAAATCAGAAACAAAGTACAACAACACTGAAAGATTAAAAACAATTTGCTTGAAATGAGCAGTATCTAAATAACTAATAAGATAAACTTCTAATTTCTAATTCATGCTTACTGAATACAATATGATTGTACCTGAACTGGATATGACCAGTAATTGTATCTCTATATCTCTATGATGTCTTCTATTGTATCGCTCCCAAAAACCGTACAATTGAGTAACAAACCCAAGTATTTGTATGGCATTACTGCTGAGCCAGTACAGGGAAGGAACTAGGTATTGGAAAAGTCTTCGCTGGATAGATCCCTTGTTGTCGGTCTAAGGATACGAAAAAATACACACAAAAAAATAATTTATCAAGATTCTTGTCTTTTAAGTATCGATGATACATATAATTCTAATGTGTTGTATTTAAAATAGGCCTACTAGACGGTTGCTGTCTCGTATGTTACTTTCCTTTACCACCAATACCTTTTTTTTTACCTGGCCCATTTTTAAAATCCAGGTAGTACAGGCGCTAGAGAAACATTCTATCTAACGATTTTACGTTATAATAACGTTACAGTTTGGTGTACAAACGTGGTGTTTTTTGTAACCAATTTTCATAGGTATTAAATAACATTGCAATGTTGCTGCACGCGTCGTCGTATAAATGCTATTTCCTGACATACATTACCACAAATTTCGCAAAAAAAAACAACCATTTTACAGTGTATAATATTTTGTGTGTGTGTGTGTTTTCTGGGATGTCATTTTATTTCAATACTCTGTCGTTTTCATTAAATAGGACTATATTGAAATCACAATGATAACTATAGGCTAATACATAAAACAGTTTTAGTTCATAAAATCTAAATGCAGGCCGGAAGGCACGAAACAATGTTTTTTTTTTTGTTTTTTTTTTTGCGTTATTCTGTGCCATATTGGTCAGATGACAGATGGAAATACAATATACCTACTAGATGTGCAGTAATCAATACGTTTGATGTGTGTTTCATGTATTACTTAAATTTATTAATATAATACCTTTTATTTTGTTCCTAACGTACCTGTTTCCAGGATTTTGGTTCGGTTTCCCCGTCCTTTGTCACCAGACGAAGTGTAATCTCATGGTTTCCCTGTTGAAGATGAAAAATTGAAGCAAACTGATCCAAAATTATATTTAATTTTCACATGGACATTATGTAGAAAGATGATCGTCTAATGTTACGGTTCGTCATGTGTTATATTTTATTCCGGTTTCCGTTATCACCGTCGTTTTATTATCCACTTTCAGTGGCAGAATTAGGGGGTGGCAAAATTTCGCTCGTCCCCACCCCTCCCCTCCCCACACTCTCTAGCAGCCAAGAAAATCACTAACCAGGTGTAAAATTAATAATATAAGAGATCAAAATGGTTTAAACTCCGAAGATTGCTGCCTTAATCACACAATAATAGCCACCAAAACCTTTCTGGAATATACAGTTTGTGTATTTTATTTATGTGGAGCTAATACTTTAAATAATAGACCTTTCCGGAGTGTCAATCAAACTAACTGACTAATCAGAACAACGCTAGGAATACACACGGGTCTTACAAACACACGTGTTGTCCCCATAGAGATATAGTAATAGAGGGTTGTCCCACAAACGCACGTGTTCGCGTATGTTTTAACGCTGCCGTCTTGTGGGGCCTTAGCAACAAAATCCAAGGGGCGGAGCTTAGCGGAAAGGTCCATTGCAATTGGAATGTACTCATTGCTGTCTCCATTTTGGATAAATAAAACAGAATCTGACTTTTCGTGCCACCCCGTTAGAAATTCTGGATCCATCACATTGCCTACAATTCACAGATACTTTTTTTATAATTCAGGTGGTAGCGAAACCATGAAGAAAATAATATATGAGAAAACTGCCTTAGAAACATTATCATAACATTGCATAATTTTACCTGTGGTCCGCTAAATATAACAACAATCAATGGTTGCTGGCAATTTTCCATTTGTAGAGTGTATTTAGTCTGCCGAAGATGTAAAAAAGCAAATTTGATCCGAATAAATCGTAGGCCTACTTTCTAACATATTTTATTTGTAACCATCCTGATACGTTTGATATTTACATTATCTGAATCAATTACTTCATTTTCAAGCTGGGATTCCATACCATGTACTGTACCACAGACCTAATACCACCTATTTTCTATTTGTTGCGGATATAGTTTTTTTTTAATCATGTGCTGGGGAAAACATGGCATGGAAACATTCCGAATCTCATTTCAAATAAGGCCTATTCCATAGATTAACGTGATTCTAAAACGTGCACAATATTTGTTACAATAATTTACAATAATTTTGAAATATAACTAGGCCTATCTTCTTCCTAGTGCGAGAAATTAAAATTAATAATTAATTTATTGATTGATTGAATTTATCCGACAGTGCTTAACGTGTACATACAAAATAAACAAGGATTTGTGAACAAGAAGAGCAAAAGTTAATGAGCATCAGGAACGACCATTAGGCAAGAGTCCATGTTTTGTGTTTTGTGATTAATTTTAAATGGGTTGGAAGCGTCTTTAATTTCGGAGGAGAATGTAGAGAAATCCCAGGTCTCGAAAAAAACCGTGGGTGTCTCCCGAATTTTGATGACATTTTCTTTAGTCTTGAAGGTGAACATCACAATATGTTGCTTATTATTGTTTTTACCGCCACCAAAGGCTGTAGCCGTTGTCCACATTATCAACATCCCCATAAGCATAATCACCATAATGATGATTATAATCATCGTTATTTACAGTTTTTGTGATGACAGTGATGATGCATTTAAAGGCGTGGTCCTGCCTCCCCATCTATTACATGATGATGGTTGTCTTTCCAATTTACCTCTTTAATGTTGATACCTTCATCCTTCATTACTCCTTCTAATGCCTGCTTAGAGTTTTCCAACACACGTTCATCTTCATCAAATTCTACACTCTAAATAAGAGGAAATTAAACAGAATCATGAAACAATTATTAATGTTATTACTAGAAGAGCCAACATGACTTTTTCATTCAATCCCATACTTTTAAATAAATTTATCGTTTTTGTTATATTTATGGTAGCCTATATTTCGACACAAACTAGAAATTTACGTACTGTGGAAATGAATTATATAAAAAAACTATACAAAAACCAATTTAAAACTATATATTAAACATTTTATAATAGACCAAAAGCAAACTTCACCTCGATATTGTCTCCAGTTTGGATCTTTGATTCCTCTTCAGCGGAGTTCATGGCTGCATCCTCCCCGTCCTTTTGCACTGTTGCATGCTCATCATCTCATGGTCGTATGAGAGTACCGATTGCAAAAACCAGTAGATATCGTGACTCATTTATCGCTTACGGTATAAAAATCTTCAATGAAAATCATAATAGATAGCTAACAATTAAAATTTTAGTAATAACAATAATACTGTAATAATGGTGATAATAATAATAATAATAATTATTATTATTATTATAATTATTATTAAAATTTTTAAATTATTATTATTATAATTATTAAACTTCTTTAAACTTTACTGCCAGTCCGACAGATAGCCAGATGACTTTCTAGCCTTGGCTATAAAGACAGAAAAAATTAATTAGATTTCATTATCCATTCCGTATTTAAAATTAAAAAACACTATAAAAATCATTACAGTATATAATTATTATTATCATTATTATTATAAATCAGTACTAACTTGCCATAAAGGAAATTGAAGTTATAATTTAACATCTGTCAATTTAAAAGTTACTGTATATTCATAATCCCAACCTAATGCATTTTGGACCATTACAACAAGGAATGACATCATACAAGGCCAAAGGTCAGACTTAACTGGCGAGGGTGAGCTTAGCGTCATGTTTACTGTAGTTATATTTATTTTTATTGCATATTTTTTATTCCTACATAAATTTGCTGCTTCCAAAACAACTCCAGCATGGTTGTTTCTTTTGAAAATAAACAAACATTGTTTATGTACTGGCTCACGTACTGTTTCACTACCAAAGACTGAATGATGGCTACTTAAATTGGGCATTTCTTCCAGATCGACTCGTTTCTGCATTTTGTTTAAAGAGCAAACGCATAACTTGGTGGCAACGCCTTTGTCAGCACAGCCTTCAAACTGACTGTAAGGTGTCATCCGTTCATAAGTCACTAACTTCATGCCCCCTTTCCGCGAAACTTCCAATATCACCATAAAAATCTCCATTAGCGAGGAATTATCTGGCGTTGGAATATGCAAGTCCATCTTCACTTCATGGTCTCCAATCTAATACAAAAAAACATCCAATAAAATTAATCTGATTTAATAATGGAATATATATACTTTTATAATTTCGGTCTATTTCAATATTTAATTTCAAATTATTTGAAAGTATTTTCAGTGGCAGCATCACAGTTTAAAATCTGGGCGGGGGGAAGACAAATTTGTAATTCCGAAATTGTTTTGTGCAATAGTTCGTTCAATTATAGAGTACGCCATCCCCGCATGGCTGCTGCATCAGAAGGGGCATCTAAACTCTTTAGAACAAGTCCAACGCAGGATGACTCGAGCCTGTGTTCCAAAACAAGGGAGGAAACTTACATATGCACAACGTCTTGACATTATCGGTCTAATTTCAGTTGAAAAACGTTTTAAGAATGTCATAACCAGGCATATATGCTAGCAAATTTTTTACAAGTCCCCATTCCCACATCCAGCAAAGATCTTCGGTGTACATAGTTTCGTATCCTTGCTTCTTGAAACCAGATAAAATCCTATTCAGTTTAACAGGAGTCGGGGGCATGTCCTGAGTGCCAAAGGGTTTTTCAACATCATACAGCTCCCCAGAAAATAGCGCCTGTAGTGTCTCATACGTTCTACCTTTCAGTGACTGAAACAATTCAAAATTAAAAACAGTTGTTTCCCGAAATCCACGAAGTGTTTGCAGAGTTTTAGGCATCGAGCGTAGAAAGTGACTATGTGAGACAGAGTCTATAAACAGGATGTTGATATTTATGTGAGTCAGGGATTGTTTTCCTTTATTAATATATGGAGGAATAATAAGTAATTGCTGGGCTATATCATCTACTTCTATGTACGCTTCCATCGCATTAAAACTGTTGACGACTTCATATGCTTCTTCATCTGTTATTTCTTCAATGTCTATTGCACATCTGATAAAACAAAACCCGTAATGATCCATCTTTTTGACAAACAGCGCCCTCAAGTGTCTCTCAAGATGTTGTGTGGAGGGAAAGTCCTGCCATTGTAGATCACCCGTGTCAGGGTCAATCTGACCAAGTGAAACTTTTTTATCTACACAAATACTTTCCGAACATTTTACAACAACATTAGCACCAGTTCCCTGAAAAGAGAAAAACAGAAATTAAAAATTTTGTTAAATTCCATTTCAATTTATTCAAGCCAAATGCAGGCAGGAGGCTAAATTACATGATATTTATGAAACAAATTTTGAACGAAAGGTACTCATTTACAAATACATAACAAAGTTACTTGTATTAAAATATAATTTAACCTGGCCTCTTTTCAAACTTTTATTAATAATTTTGATACATTAATAATAAATTTGGTAAACACATTTCAAAATAAAATAGATAGGATGAGCGATGGTTGGTCAAAAAACTTGAGAGTAAGTCTAGGTCCATGGTAAAAAAAATCCTGATGAATCAACAGACCCTCTAATTTCCAAATAACGTCGTGTTTGGCAACACAACATTTTTTTGCCCATGATTAGCATAAATACAACATTTTTTTATTTTTAATTTCCATGAATAAAAATTTTATTAAAAACAAGCCTGGTTCTCACGAGAGCCCTAGTGCCCATATCAGGAGCTAACCGTTAGCGCTAACTGTTAGTACCTGCGTGAGAACGCCCGATCATGTAACGCTAACCGTTAGCAGTATCCGGAAATGGTTAGCAAGTAAGGGCGTTTTTATCATCAACCAATCACACATACACGTTTACAAATTCCAGATTCTTATTGGCCAGTGATTCGATCCTCATATTTTTGGTATCCGGATCGGGATTTTCTCATATGGACGAACGGCAGCTAACGGTTAGCAGGATCCGGATCCTGCTAACCGTTAGCAGCCGTGTGAGAACATAGCCTCAAACTCACTGTAAAATGGCAAATGTTATTTCTTAGTTGATGCTTGCACGTATCCACTGGTGAAGAGAAGAAAAGTTCATCAGCCAACTGACAGGATCCGCTCACAGGCGTCAAACGCTGACATCCATAAGGAGACAAAGGGATGCTGGAGTTGTACCTTTCCAAATGACATTCCTTAAAAGCAACCTGAAGATTGGATATAAAGAATAATTTATTCAGAAACTATTGTATCAATATGTAGACTTGCCACAAGTCTCTAATTTATTGATTTTTCCTATTATGTTGGAGAGCGCCACCAGCATCTGTTGGAACGCCATGCAAATAAGTAATATGGAACGCCATTGGTGCCAAAAATTGATTTATTTTTAAGCGTTTTCACCGATTAAGACAAAAATTTGGGACTGAAGTCCAGTCTATAATATGTATTGATATGTACAACTTTATGTATTGATTTCAGAGAAGGCCTTGCATTCACCTGTTTGTTATAATGATTATTTTTAGAATGTTGTTTAATTTGCCTAGGTATTGTAGTGCACGTCATATGTTTCTCATAAATGACCTGCCTAGTTTTCAGGTTTTTTTAAGGAAGACAATCTGCAGTTTCATTCTGAGATTTCAGTCGAGTGAAAATAATCTTATCAAATGTATGGTTCACCAATGTTTACCTGAGTGAAGGCTTCTCTCCAAGTGGAGATATGCTCATGTTAAATTTTTATTCTCATATTTTATTGTTTTGTCTCTGTATTATTTTATAACTAGGTTTTGAAATTAAAGTATATGTATAGAGTATTAACAACAAGAATGTAATCAATATGAGAAAAAAAATCCCAAAAATATATATTAGCATTTTATTAATATACAAATCACTATGCAAATTAGGTTGACCTGAGCAATAATCCTCTTTGTGCATCATTGATGTTTTCCATATTTTAAGAGAGTACACACTCTTCCCCTCTCTCTGAAAGAATACTGATTGATGTCATTTCTATTTTTCGTAATCAGGGGTACATGTGGGGGGGGGGCTTTTGGAAAGTAGAAATAAAGGAAAAAAAGAAGGAAACATTAATGATCAACCAAAACACCTCAGAGTTTATTTTCAAGGGTCTAGGAAACAAAAAACCCTCCTAGGGTAGTGTTGTCTCTCGATCGGCTACCCCTTCGGACTTCGCTCTGGATACGCCCCAGATAATTAAAAGCATACAATCCTATCTAACCAACAAAACTCTCCAGTGACTGGTTTGTAAATTCATGAAAACAAAATAAATAATATCATCAACATAACAAACGACGGTAGAACGTAACCGGTATGTGGGTGAAGTTAGTTAGCCAAGTTTGTTCATGGTGAAAATTTATGATCAAATTGATGGGGTTTCAATGGGCTCGCCTTTGGCACCTGTTTTGGCGAATTTATTTATGGGTCACCATGAACAAACTTGGCTAACTAACTTCACCCACACACCGGTTACGTTCTACTGTCGTTATGTTGATGATATTTTTTGTATACTAAACTCAAATGATCATGCTAAAAAATTGTTTCAAAATAAATAATCCTTTTACCTTTTCATGTACCTTTCGAAGAATTGAGTTTATTCGCATGCGTTTCAGAGAACTCTCAAATTCAACATCTGGTTCCAAGAGCAGGAAAAGCAGGAAGTATGCGCTATATATCAGAAGACTGCAGACGAGGAGTTTCACGGCAAACACTCGGCTTTTGAAAGATGTTCTGAACCTGCCCATCATGAATCGTTCACCTTGAATGTTCTCATTGCCTTCCATACGAGTCAGGAAGGCACGCTACATTATTTAAACAGTAAATTCTGTAATTGAAAGCATTTTGATGGTGTTATTCATTTTGCAGTGGTTACATTTTTTAGAGCATTTTCCTCTAATTCACTAGACTTTTTTTTCCCCCAGGAATTAACAGCTGCCATATGGCAACCTTTCCTAATTTCTATTAACATCAGTGGCTTCTCAAAGATATGAGAACAGTAGGATGCTAAGCTGTAGTTTCACCCTCCACCCCTTTCCAATGTTATTGAATTCTAAATACTTATGGTATCAAGGAGATATTTAATATTTCCATAATGCTACTAAAGGATTTCGTCAAAGATAGCCATAATTAAGCCTGCAGTTACTGCCTAGCCTAGCATATGGCATAGGCCTAGTGGTGTTTTTAATGTACTACTGTACTGTATAGTTTTAATACAATTAAAAAGTTTTAAATCACAAAAACAAAGAAACCCACAATATAGCATACAACCACTCAAGTTATTAGTATTTATCGTAAAGGTGACCCGTGGTAGGAAATAGTTTTACCAAAAAAACACAAAAAAAAATCTGTCAAGCCTCTCTAGGCTCTCTCTCTTGATCTCGCACAGTGCCATCAACAGGTTTGATGATCAGCAATGGAGATAAATCTAAGCCTAGCTAGGCCTAGGCTTTTTGGCTAACGATACGACAATAAACATGACTAACAATGAGGTGGGTGTCGACTCACAAAATGCCTTCCCCCTCCACCTTTCAAAACAGATCTGTGCCCTTCCCTGGGTATGACATTAAACTCCATCGAGTCGGCTCCTGATGTACGTCTTTGACTGCTGTTTGTTTTTAGGATGTTATCTGGTTTCTCATGTACATTTTTCATGATTATGATTATTCTGGATAAAGAATGTTTTGAGCAAAGGTGGATTCAAGCCCCCCTCCCCACCCTTCATTTTTTTAAGGGAAAAAAAGAAAAATATATTCAAATTGAAGTGCGAGAGTATATTCAAATTTAAGTGCGAGAGTGTAATTTCCGGCCATCTAGAGATGCCCTAATCATAAATTTTCTTACCTCAGCCCCAACCATGGTGGGGCTGAGGTGGGTGGTTCTTCTCCCTCCCTGCTTCACCTCTCTTTCGAATTCCTGGATCTACCACTGTTGATTTTTATTATATAATTATTTTTGCGCTTATTTATAATGCGTCTATTGCAATTTTCACTTTATTCTCTCAAACAGTCCGAAGAACGTCCAGAGTGCGCTACTTCACAGGGGGATTCGCCCCCCTTGACCCCGCCGGGGTCATACGTATCGCCTCCTTGCCCCCGCCGGGGTCCTACGTAATTCGCATAACGGCTCCCCCCCCCCCCTTTCAAAATCCTGGCTACGTCCCTGATTTAACCAGAGTAGAGCCCTGTAGTAGTAGTGGTACAAGTTCCAGCGAACACAAACTGCTAGCTGTCCTGCACGAACTATGCAGAATATGTCGCTGAAATTCAGTCTGATGCGACAGAAAAAGGGGAGGGCTCCCGGGAATAATTTCATCACCTGCAACATCAAAGTGGTTTTTTTTTCAGCATTTTTGAAAGCTAGTTCTAACACAAAATTTTCTGAAGCATACGTTTTTTTCCAATCCTCCACTTGTCTCAGATTTTCTTGACCTATTTTTGAGTATGTACATTGTACTATATATGAAGGAAATACGTATCAAAAATTAGTATTCTGTAAATTAAAGTTCTACTGTATGCATTTGCCACATTATTGCTATTGGAATTAGAATGCAAATTTTTGAAATTTGACGGATTTTTTTCTTATTATAATTGCCTTTATAACTTCAGTACATAATGTAGAGTAATTCCCATTATTTCTTCAGTATATACTGTATATACAGTATAGCGCAACAATTGAGGGTTTGTAATTTCAGATTATCTTGTTGTTCTTTTAATATATTATAAGTTACATATGAATTTTAATATAAAATATTGAGCAGTCCTAAGAGAATGAATTGTGTGTCCTTTATATTTTGTTTTATGCAGTAAGATTGAATATTCTTTTTTACCATTTCACCCTGGAATGTCATGTGGGCAAGATAACATACTAGTGTATAAAGGCCAACTCAGACAGCGTCGGCCGACGTGTGTGTGTGAGTTGAACGCAGACGCGATGGTGTGCGTCGGGGGCAGTCGCGTAGTAGAATATTAAACGTGTTTAATATTTCTCACGACGGCTTAAGACTGTCCCCGACGATAAATCGGGTCGGGCTGCGTCGGCCGACGCTGTCTGAGTTGGCCTTAACTCTTTCAGTGTGAACCACGGTTTAGTTCCTTCATCTGTTCACTCTTTTCATCACAAGCAAACCTGTTAAAATGGAATACAGTCCAGTGAAACTAGGTACACAATAATAAGGACTACATAAAATTATTATAAACAATATGCAGTATGTACAGTATAGTTCGACATAAACACTGACACAAATCAGTATTACATCACCCGATGGTCCACAGGCTAGATGCAGACAAGAATATCCAGATTAACGACATACAAACATTTTTACACGCCACCTTGATCATTTTGTATAGTGTTAGTCTCAATAGACTTGTCCTCATCCAGAGACCAAAACAAGTATCCCACTGATGATACCGCCCCATCTACCCCTCCCCGAGCCCTGACAATAACATTTACGAATATCTTGACGTGACACAATTCAGAACAACAATATTTCTATCACTCAATTAAGTAAATACTGGATTTATCAGTTTTCGGATAATCAATGAGTCGATTCACAGAGAACAATAGTATTTTGTAAAAGTCTTCATCTTTGTACAGTAAAGTGAAAGGATGGCAGTGGTAAATGCCTGAAAATTTGTATTCACCTTAAACAAGAAAAACTTGTTTTTTTTTTCTTTCTTTCATCACTACTGCATTATGGGTACCACTACTGCAGGTGTTATTATATTTTATATGTTAGTCCTTAGATGGTGGTGTTATATTTTATAATGCTAATCCTTAGATCGGCACCGCTACTGGATTATGGGCACCACTACTGCTGCAGGTATCCCATATATTGGTGTAACGATGCTGCAGGTGTTGTTATATTTTATATATTTAATCCTTAGATGGGCACCACTACTACATTAATGGCACCACTACTGTAGATGTTGTTATATTTTATATATTAATCCTTAGATGGGCACCGCTAATGCATTATGGGCACCACTACTGCAGGTGTTATATTATATACATTAATCCTTAGATGGGCACCGCTACTGCATTACGGGCACCACTGCAACAGGTGTTGTTTTATTTTATACAATAATCCTTAGATGGGCGCTGCTATTGCATTATGGGCACCACTACTGCAGGTGTTGTTAGATTTTATACATTAATCCTTAGATAGGCACCGCTACTGAATCACGGGCACCACTGCAACAGGTGTTGTTATAATTTATACAATTATCCTTAGATGGGCGCTGCTACTGCATTATGGGCACCGCTACTGCAGGTGTTGTTATATTTCATACATTAATCCTTAGATGGGCACTGCTACTGAATTATGGGCACCACTGCTGCATGTGTTGTTATATTTTATATATTATTCCTTAGATGGGCACCGCTACTGCATTATGGGCACCGCTACTGCGGGTGTTGTTATATTTTACATATTAAATCCTTAGATGGCACTGCTATTGCATTATGAGCGCGTCTATTGCAGTTGTTGTTATATTCTATACATTAATCCTTAGATGGGCACCACTACTACATTAATGGCACCACTACTGTAGATGTTGTTATATTTTATATATTAATCCTTAGATGGGCACTGCTATTGCATTATGGGCACCACTACTGCAGGTGTTGTTATATTTTATATATTAATCCTAGATGGGCAACGCTACTACATTATGGGCACCACTACTGCAGGTGTTGTTTTATTTTATATATTAATCCTAAAATTTATTTATTTGTTATTTATTTATTTATTCATTTATTCTTTATACTGTAGGCACTTTCAGTACTATTACACTGATTTTCAAAATGGTACAGTTTAAACATAACAAAATTATATACAATATGAAGAATTGTTTCACAAAAAATTAAAAAGAGGCCAGACCTAAATCACTATATAAATTATAATATAATTCTTACCTAGCTTATGCCCTACGGTAAGAGGGGCAATGCTAGGTAATTTATTAACATTAGGTAAGGCATGCGCAAGTGACTTTTTTTTATTGTCTAAAAGTTGGTCACAAACACAGCAAAAAATAAGTTAGTTTTATTTTATTTTTAGCTTGTATCAAAAAGTTCAGAATCTTATTACTATTGATTGGTTTGTTCACAATTTCCATATATTCATATCACAGAAAGTGTTTTTAATTAAAATCATCCCAGTAACCAAGGAAGGCCCGGGCCACCTGTGAAATTTCCCCTCCCCCTGTAAAAATCCAAGTGAAAATTGAGTATGGAAAAAGTAGCAACAAATAAACAGCAAATACTTATTTCTTTAAATTTATACATGTCCTATATGCTTAATACTCTACAACCTCGGATAAATACGTACATATTCATTTTCAATTTTTCTAACATACAAGTTAAAATTAATAATTTTATCATTGGAATACACAACATATTATGAATCATGAGATTTGCCCTTATACACTAAATAGCTAAAGCTTCCATGGGGTTGCAGCCCCAGACAAACAACCATCCCCTTTCCTCAGACACACAGGCCATTCACAAGCCCCACCCCAATGAAATTTGATAATTAATTTGGACAGGGCTTTAGGCTACCTCACTTATTCACACGTGCTTTTAGGTTAAATAATTTATTTTTTGAATAAATAATAAACTACAAGTCCAAACATGGAGACATAAGAGAAACACAATGTTTAGAGAGAATTTTCATTTAAAAAAAACCCAAAACAAGGGATCGAACCTCCGACCTCGTGGTTGAGAGTTTGAATGTTATTTGATGCGTCAACAGCTCCCACATTTTGTATGACCGTAGTAACATAATAAACGCATAGTAGATTCTTGCAATATTATACAAGT